TGTTATTAAATAAAACATTTACAATCAGTGTGAAATCTGTTAACTTATTATTTTGTTTGTCCATCCAGTGATTATTCGTGTGTATGCATCTGCGTTTGTGTATTTTATTTTGATTTTGTAAAATGTTTTACGGTGCTCGCAACTGCATAAGGTCATATGGGCGCGCGGGACACACCTAATATTTTTCAGTTGGTAGGAAATTTTGAATTTTGCCCGGGTGGCGGCCGAGGCCTACTCTTATCGATTTTAGGTTTGTGTATATATGTGAGTGTGTGTGTGTGTGTTTGAGTGAAAAAGAGAGATAGGGTGAGAGAGAGAGAGATAGGGGGGTGGGAGAGAGATAGGGGGGTGGGAGAGAGAGAGAGAGTGTTGGCGAGTGCATGTGCGTGCGTGTAAACGTATATACTTACCATGCCACAGTGAATTTCTGTTTGTGTTGATCAATAAATTATTTCATCGTATTTTATACCTACATAATGCTGATGGTTGCTCTGCTGTTTTGTTTTTTTGTTTTTTTTTGGACAGAGTCATCCGGTGAAGAGAGTGACAGCGAGTGGCCCGTAGGAAAGCTGACCTCGGGTACAGACAAGAAACTGCAGTCACCGCAGGCGGAACGAAAGAAGGGGGAGAGCAAGCAGAGGCAGAATGGGGAGAGGAAGAAAGGAGACGCGGAGGACGGAGGAGGAGGGGATGAGGGGGGTAGGAAGAGAGGAGGGGAGAAGAAGGAGAAGCAGGAGGAAGAGAAGAAAAGGGAGAGGACCACTTCGGGAAGTGATACAGCAGCGAGGCGCGGTGTCAACTTTGGGCAGAAGCGGAAAAAAACCATCATGAGGTATGAAGTTCCGCTTTGTCGCAACCCAGCTTATTTGTGTCACGATGCGGTGGAATCGAGCGCTCATCAATTTTTGGGCTTGTGCATGTGGAGTTATTGATATCATCGAAAGCTTATTCATTTGCTTGCTTTCTGTGAAAAAAAAAAATTACCCTTCTATCTTAAACAGATTTTGCGATAAACAGAATTCAAGGTATTTGCAAAAAAGGGGTTGGATTGTCCAAGGCTACATGCCGACTCGTCAAAATGTGACGCTTCAGGTGAACGGCTTGGTGTGTTTTGAGATAAAAAAAAAGATCGTCTGTATTAAAATTGTGTTTTTCTTCTTTTGTTTGCAGACGTGAACAGTGCAGCGATGGTACGCCCAACCTTTGACAATTGACAATGTTCTGGAAAAACGTGGTCGGGGCTTTAATGCGTCCTTGCGTGTGTTTGTGTACACGATCACGAGTCCGATAACCTAGCCACTAAGCTACCTACTTTTTAGCTTGTGGTTACGTAATGTATCGCTGCCTATGTCTTCACATTATACAACAATTAGAGAAAGTGGTTTCGTATTCCCACGAGACATCGCTGCAGTCCCACTGTGGTCCTGGATGCTGCACAAAGGTTAAACAGTTCAAAATGGGACGTACCGTATTATTCTTTACTCTTACCACAGACCTAGGAATGCTAACTTCTCTGCTTTTACCAACGTATTTGCTCAAGGCCAAGGACACACCCCAGCGACTACTCACCTGAACGCGTCATAGGCATTGTAATGTTTGACTTTAATGCGAGCTGGAGCCTGAATCGACCTAACACAGCACTTGCCACACACTTTAGTTCGATCCGGTGTCAGTGGTATAATGCACTGCTTCCAGAAGATTTGGGTTCGATTTCCACGAGGTGATGTTTATTTTCACCCACTTTTACCATCTTTCTTTTGGGATGATATGTCATTCATTTCCGGTTAGCTTTTAACGGGCTGGGTCGAGATATCATGCCTCCTATATGGTCTACATTGTGTAGATGCGTTTACACGTCACAGTCATTACAAACTTCACAAGTGGGGAAACACAAAACTGTTGTACACTTGGCATTTGGGGGCTCTCGTGGTCTAGAGGTTACGGTGTTCGACTCTCATCTAATAGAATCTAGGTCCTGGGTTCGAAACCTGACAGCGACGGAACATTTCGTTTTCTAAAATGTTCTCTTCTCACCCCCTTTCCTGCGCTCTAACCATGTTCTGTAGTCTACTTTCGTCTCCACTTTCTGCCCCTTCCCTCTGTCCCCTCCTCTGGGCTCCTGACTTTTCCTGCACCCTTTCTACTTATACTACTCCTTGGCTCCTTCTTACTGCTGTCTTTCAGCCACACCCCTGATTATATCGTAGGTAAGCTCTAACATTCTCGAAGGTCCTTTGAGCAAGTTACGCACGTTGAAGATCCCTTGGTGATCCCAAAACCGATAAGAATAGGCTTTGGCCGCACGCCACGGGGGAAAATTCCAAATTCCTACCGAACTAAAAATGTTTACTGTGTCCTGCGCACTCACACTCATATGACCTTATGCAATTGCGAGCACCGTAAAATGATTTTGAGCAAAAGAAAAGCGCTACGAGACGATAGCTAATAACAGAGAAAAGCAAGGATGACACAAGTATACATTAGATGACGGATAATGACGAAATAGGGCCTACTAGTGGCGCGCTCCATGCCAACCATACACAAAGGAATGTGTAGTAAAAAAAAATACCCCAAAAAACATTTTTTTAAGTCAATGACTTTTAGCACTTCAGCTCAACGCTTATACTTTTGTTGTTTTTTTGTTTGTTTTGTTTTGATCTTTTGTTTTGATTTTAAAATTGGAACAGCACGTTCAACTTTAACTTTAGAAAATGAAGGCTAAGTTAAAAATCAACCGTTCAAAATAGGCGGCCATGAAGCCACCTTGCCTGGCGGAACAAAAAAAAATCAACGTGCTTTGTTGCGACAAATGTCACGTATGCTCTAACCCTAGGTTACGCTAACTTTTGGCTTTTTGTTGTTGTTTTATATAACCATTTTTCTTGTACTCTGTCTGTATGTCTAGCTGTCTGTCTCTTTCTCTTTCTCTTTCTGTCTCTCTCTCTCTCTCCTTCTCTCTCTCTCTCTCTCTCTCT